AGGGTCTTCAGAGGATGACTCTGCCATTCGTTGGCCATCATAAAACAGCAATGAGAATTTCAACAAGTAAATACAGTGGTACCTCGAGTTACATACGCTTCAGGTTACATACGCTTCAGGTTACAGACTCCACTAATCCAGAAATAGTGCTTCAGGTTAAGAACTTTGCTTCAGCATGAGAACAGAAATCGTGCTCCAGCGGCGCGGCAGCAGCAGGAGGCCCTATTAGCTAAAGTGGTGCTTCAGGTTAAGAACAGTTTCAGGTTAAGAATGGACCTCCGGAATGAATTAAGTACTTAAGCCGAGGTACCACTGTAAATACATGATAAATTCTCAATAACCTAATCAGCCCCTTTGCAAGAAAAGGGTTTGAAAAATAATGATCACAAGCTGATGCAGAAATGTGGAGAACCGAATTTAATTGGAAAAAGGAGAAACTGAGAGAGGTAAAGGTAAAGGTAAAAGAACCCTGGATGGTTAAGTCCAGTCAAAGGCAACTCTGGGGTTGCGGCGCTTATCTCACTTTCAGGCCAAAGGAGCCGGCGTTTGTCCACAGACAGTTTTCCGGATCATGTGACCAACAGGACTAAACCACTACTGGTGCATGGAGTACCGTGATGAGTGCCAGAGCGCACAGAAACACCGTTTACCTTCCCGCCACAGTGTTACCTATTTATCTACTTGCACTGGTGTGCTTTCGAACTGCTAGGTTAGCAGGAGCTGGGACAGAGCAACGGGAGCTCACCCTGTCACAAGGATTCGAACTGCCGACCTTCTGATCAGCAAGCCCAAGAGGCTCAGTGGTTTAGACCACAGCGCCACCCGCATCCCGGACAGAAAACCAATGTTGACAGACATACCCATCCCTAGGATGGCTTGGTCAGCTCATGACCCCCTGTGATACTTTCCTGTTACCCAGCCCCACCGGCATCCACACAACTGAGGAGAAGATCTGCTCTAGCTAAGGAGAGTCCATGCATGTTGATTGTGCCTGGTTCCAAACCATGAAGAAGATGGAGCAAGTATGTTTTCTGCTGCTCCAGAGGACCCAAACTAATGGATTCAAATTGCAAGAAAGGAGATTCCAACTAAACATTAGGAATAACGTTTTTTCTGGTAAGAACCAATGGAATAGACTCCCTTGGTGGACTCTCCTTCATTGAAGGTTGGCTGGCCTTCTGTTAAGGATTCTTCAGCTGCGATTCTCGCATTGCAGAAGGTTAGACCAGATGACATTTGAGTTCCCTTCCAACTCTACAATTCTATGATTCTATGATTTTAATCACCTAATTTAACTGCCCAATGGTTGTGGCCCTAGTGGACTGAATTTAAGTTAGGGCTGAGTCCATTGGCAGGTGACCTAGGACCTCTCAGTAGAGTTGCCATATATATTCCAAAAAATTGTTGATGAGCTTTTTTTATTTTTATTTTTTTGCAGGAATACCTCAAAATGCCAAAAAAATCTAGACATATGGCAGCCCTACCACTCAGAGCCTGTGCTTCTATTTCCTGCTTCTTCTCTGTCAGATGAGCAGCAGTGAGGCAGATCAGGCTTCCTTTCCTACTCATGAAAGTCTAATTCCACAAGGTGTAGAAAAACTGAATACTGAATTGGAAAATCCAGTTAGCCTAAAATAGAATGGGAAAAACTGTAAATAAGGTATGGATGGCATGATCGTATTATTATTTTAAAGAATTTATGTACTACTTGATTGTAATGAAACTCCTAAGCAGTTTACCAAAATAAAAAAATTAAATGATCAATAAAACACAGTTTAAAAACAGGTATTTTAAATACAGGTAAGTAGCAATGTTGGTCAGCCGTAGTCGAAACAGAATAAAAAATTTCCTTCCAGTAGCACCTTAGAGACCAACTAAGTTTGTTATTGGTATGAGCTTTTGTGTGTGCACAAAAGCTCATACCAATAACAAACTTAGTTGGTCTCAACCTAGCAGTTCGAAAACACGTCAAAGTGCAAGTAGATAAATAGGTACCGCTCCGACGGGAAGGTAAACGGCGTTTCTGTGTGCTGCTCTGGTTCGCCAGAAGCGGCTTAGTCATGCTGGCCACATGACCTGGAAGCTGTACGCCGGCTCCCTCGGCCAATAAAGCGAGATGAGCGCCGCAACCCCAGAGTCGTCTGTGACTGGACCTAATGGTCAGGGGTCCCTTTACCTTTTTAAGGTGCTACTGGAAGGATTTTTTTATTAAGTTTTTTAAAATCATCCAAAAGATAATTAAAGTCAACAACAGGTATTATTTTTTAAGTGTTTTAATCTCAACTTCTACATGATTGTATAGGCTTACCCAGGGGTAAGCAAACTTTTTCAGCAGGGGGCCAGTCCACTGTCCCTCAGACCTTGTGGGGGGCCAGACTATTTTTGGGGGGGACATGAACAAATTCCTATGCCCCACAAATAACCCAGAGATGCATTTTAAATAAAAGCACACATTCTACTCATGCAAAAACACGCTGATTCCCAGACCATCTGCAGGCTGGATTTAGAAGGTGATTGGGCCGGATCCGGCCCCTGGGCCTTAGTTTGCCTACCCATGGGCTTACCTAAACAAAAATCTTTGTCAGCAGGTGCCGAAAAGTTAATAATGAGCACACGCACCTGATTCAATAAGCAGGGAGTTCTAAAGTAACACCTGAAACTGTGCCACTTCCACAGATAAAAGTGGTCGAGTAGCTAAGGAGATCCTTCAAACAAGCTGGTCTGAAGCGGTTATGCACTTCCTTTGCTCATAGTAACACTTTGAACTTGTCTTAGTCGCAAACCAGCAACCAGCTCCGATCTCTAACCCAACTCTGTTGAGAAAGCTCAGTCAGCAGACCATGAGACTCTTAATCTCAGGGTTGTGGGGTTGTGGGGTCGAGCCCCACGTTGGGCGAAAGATCCCTGCATTGCAGGAGGTCAAACTCGAAGACCCTCATGGTCCCTTCCAACTCTTCAGTTCTTTGATTCTATGACTAACATACACACTGATGTCCAGCACACTTCTGGGCCTAATTCAAAGGAAAGCCCTAAATGACTTGGGACCAGGTGACCTGAAGGATCATCTCCTCCCACACGTAGCTGCCTGGATCCTAAGATTAACTTCAAAGGCCCTTTTCCAAGCTCCCCCCCACCAAGTGAGGTACAACAGGTGTCTACAGGAGAAAGGGCTCCTAAGTGGTGGCCCCTCGGTTATAGGAATGCCCTCCCCAAAGAGTCCCTCCTGGCACCTTATTTGTGGCCTTTTCAGCATCTTTTTAGATTGTGAACCTTTAAATCCACAGACGTTTAGATCTGGTGCCTGCTTTCGAAGATACTGTGCATTTCTCTATACCGTCTTACACCTTGCTGTAAAATGTTTACATTTAATGTTTCCCCTGGATTTGAGTACTATTTTATTGTACTGGGGTTGTCTAGAATTGTTTTATTGTTTGCAGGCTGCCCAGAGACCATTTTTTAATCAGGTGGCATATAAATAGTGATTAAAAAACTCAAATGAAGAATGCATTTTCAGTTCCTTCGGTACATTTATGCTTCCCCCGTTCCCAACATGGGAAAAAAACCCACTGTCGACCACCAACACCCCACAGAAAACCCAGTCTTGAACTGACTGTGTATATATCTTTGCATCATGTTCCATTTTGCGCTCTATGTTTTACCCATGCACAGGACATCATTGTATATATATCAAACACCCCACAGCAAGAATTTTGAGGCAATGGTGTGTATAGTTGCATCAAGAGTCCCTTTTCTTTCTTTTTTGCAGTGTTTTATGAATGCATCAGTAATGAGAATTTGATGCAATTAAAATGATGGAATGGACACCTGCAGCAAACTCCAGTTAAGAATTTTCTTCTTAAAGGTTTTTGTAATGGGCTGTGCACTATTGTGGCAACATATCATTACTAAGGGGAAAAAACTAACCTGTTACATGAGGGTGACCATATGTTGATAGTACTTAAACATACATAATTGAAAATAGCAACAAGAGTATTTGAAAATGCAGCCGTGTGCATGGAATAAGAAAGCAAATCCAAGTTCATTCTCTTGTATATGAGTGTAGCAGTGATGGCAATGTGAAAACATGGGTCCAAGCAGTTTTCCACCCTTCTTGGGTTTTCTAGGCATGAGTCTGAGCGGTTTTGCCTTTGCCCCACTGTGTCCCCCACCCACCCCCTAGAAAACCCACTCTTTAGTATTAAGTGAGAGCAAGCATCAATCCAGAGAAAACCTGGTGGATGTTTGCTCTGATCCAACAGTAAACAGGGAGTTTTCCTGGGGGGCAGGTTCTGGAGCAAACTCTGGTTGAGCCCTGAGATAACACTATCTCATCCAGGGCCAGCCCATGACGCACATGCCTAAGCAGGGATTGGTACCCGAGTTTCCCATGTTCAGACAAAGCACCCCATCTCCCCACAATGATCACACCCTTGGGGACCCCACATTGGATCATTCCAAGCCATTCCGATGCAGACAAATTGGCCTTCCAGAAAGTCACTCCAAGCTGCCTTGACCTTCTGCCCTGTTTTGCAGATCTAAGCCACTTGTGACTTAGTCCTCAGTTCAAATCCATGGCAAGCATCCTAATAAATGAAGAACCCATTTGCTTATGAGGAGGGCTTCAGCAAGACACCCTTCTCCCATGTGGGCAGCCGCTGTTTGCAATATGGATTGAATAACGCTGGCCTACTTTGCAGGGTTGCTGTAAGGATTAGAAGAAGGCGATGCTACTAGGTGGGTTCTGGACAGTCTGCACACACCTCATAAAAGCGACTGCTTCAAGTTGATGGCCTAGAAAAACCTCCATTCTCTGCTAGGAGACAGCGAGGGAAAGGAATCTAGCACATGCTCAGAGAAACCCTTGCCTTTATTGCCGTTTCTCGAAGGCCAGAGAAGAGATCCTCAAAGGTAAGCGGCGATGAGCTCTCCGTCAAAGAGAGCCCTTCTCTGCGCAGAAGGCTGCGCATTCCTGGATTAACCCACCTGCATGCTTGCCTTACCTGATGATCACATACATGACGGAGCAGTTCCCCACCAGCCCCACGATGCAGACGATGGAGTAGACGATGACAATTGTGACCTTGATGCCCATGGGCAGGAAGCCATCTGCTGTCCCATTGTGGAACCACTCGCCCAAGCTGAGGTTCCAGAGGGACGAGTCGTTGACCAGCTTCCTCATATAGTAGACATCCTCCGCTTGGATGTGCAGGAGGGGGTCCATGCTGGATGCAGCAAGGTGGGAGCAGACAGGCTCTGGAGGTGCAGAGAGGGTGGGGAGAAGACGACACAGGCTTAATCGCGATAACCCAGATTTCTGGCACAGCTACGCATAGGGGGCAAGATTATTTTGGCGTGAGGAGTGAATGCAGCATCCCTGCAAAGGCGCTGCATGCGTGCTAATCACATCACGCCTTTCGAACCCGCTTGAAGAAGGAGATCTGCCAGGGAGACTTTGAAAGAGACTTGCAGCTGGATTTAAGACAGCCGCTGCCGCCGCCGCACGGCCCTTTGCACAAAGAAAGAGGCTGCAGATGGGCAAGACACCCGCCCGCCCCCCTTTTCCGTGCATGCAGGGAATAATCCATCGCCTGCACTTGCTTTCTGCTGCAGAGAGACCTTCCCTTCAAAGTGCACCTCGCAACGCTGGCAGGTGAATGATCGCAGAATGCAAGGCTGAGGGCTGAAAAGGGGGCGGCTTTTCTTAAAAGCAATTATCTGGGAGAAAGCATCATGCACGGTTTTGTTGCGAAAGCTGCCTCAACTCCGGTCCCCCGAACCCCAAGAAAAAAGAACCCAACACCAGGTTAACTTCAAAGGACACCTTCCCGCTTACCTTGGGGAACACGTCTTCTTTCCTGGAACGCAGGTCTTTGGGGATGGGTGGTCTTTGCTTTTCAGCAGCGCCGTGGCCCAGGCATGACGTCCCCGAGAAGGGAGTTGAGCGAGACAAAGCCGACCTAAAAGAGAGAACTCCCTCTCTCTCCTTCTCGCAGGCTGCCTTTCCCCCCACGGCTCTGAGGAGCTGAGGCTTCAGCAGCGATCTGGATGTGATGCGGAAGAAAAATCCAACTTGGAGAGGGGTTGGGGAAGGGGAGCGGGTTATGCCAAGAAGCGCAACACACACACACACACACCGAGGTTTCTAACCTAAGTGGGAGTGGAGGAAGGGAGCTGGCGGGGGGAGAGAGCAGACTTGCTTTTGCTAGTCATCAGGAGGGAAGGCAGGTCCAGCCGCTGGGGCGGGCGAGATACTTGTTCCAGCGCAGACCTGTCTGGCTTGCTGTTGGAGAGAGGAGAATCGGAGGAGATCGGCTTCGATCAAAGCGTGGAACACCTGTGGGGGGTGGGTGGGAAGGGGAGCGGGGCGCGCGGGGGGGGGGGCATTTGTCTGCTGCTTTCTCCTTCCCCTCTTCTCTCCCGGCTGCTGTGGCACCACCCGTCGTATCTCTGGACCAGTCTCGCCCAGCAAAGTTGGGGGAGCAGCGATGGTGGAGGCAGAGGACGTGATCTCCTTTTGCCAAGTCGTGCAGGTAACCTGCTGCACACCTGCTTGGCAGTGCCTCAGGGCAGGGCTGGATAATGGAGACCTTTAGAGGCCCTAAGCACACACACCTCCCCCAAAAAATGAAGTTTTTTTTTTTTAAAAAAAGAACAATGCTAAACCACAAACTATTTTTTAAAATAAGAAATATAAAATAGATAGATTGCAACACACGTCAAGATCTGATTCCCTTGCATTATTTTGATCTGCGTCAGCAGGATGAGCCCCTGGTTCAGGTGGGGTTAAGTAATAAAATGAGAAGAGAAATATGCCATTTGATTACATTTCTATCCCAGGAGCTCAGGTTGGTCGCATTGTTCTCCCCCTGTGAGGTAGGTCAGGTTGAGAGGCAGTGACTGGTCCAAGGTCTCCCAGCCAGCTTCATGGCTGAGTGAAGATTTGAACCCTGGTCTCCCAGGTCGTAGTCCAACACTCTAACCACTGCTCCGCATTACCTGGGGAATCAGGGAAGAGTATGTAGTGGAGTGTAAGAAGCCTAACGAAGTCCTGATTTCCCCCATGATTACTACTTTGATGCTTTCCCTGAAATATCAAATGTCAAATTCTTCCCCCCCCCAAAAAAAACCCCAAACCCCTCTCTGTTTTGGTGGTGCCCCTGCTTTTCTGGAGCCTTAAGCATGTCTGCCCATTGTGTAATCCAGTATTCAGCTGAGTGTCCCAGGAAGGCACAGATCTCCAAGCTACAGTTGTCTGGACCAGACAGAGTAAAGTCACCGCTTTGGAAGAACTACAGCAGAATTTGAGTCTTCTGAGTGCTGTCCTGCAAAATAAAAGAGGCAGTTGCCGGGTGCTGCACTGCCCAATTTAGCACAGAATGACTGGAAGCAGGGGTTTTTTTTTTGGGGGGGGGAGTGTCCATCTTTCTCAGGTCTACCTGGAGAACCTGGGAATGGTCTTCATGCACCTTCCCACTGAGCTCTCTCCTCTCCCCTATCGCAAGGGTCACTCTAAGCATAACAAAACTCTGCGTGCGGGAGGCTATGCACCAGCCGCACACTGATCATTATGCGTGGGTGTCTTCTGCGTGTACGCGCATGCCTCAGTCCACCAGGTGGAAATGCACATACAAAGGAGAGCTGTCTATGCGCATAGGTAGCTGCCTCCTACTGAGTCATGCCATGGATCTGTCAAGCTCAGTGTGGCCTGTACACTGCCAGGCTCTCTGGGGTATCTTTCCCAGCCATACTGGGAGATGCTCTGTCAGTGAGCTATGGCTTTTCCCAGGGCCCAAACCCATGATGCAAGAGGGCAACCTCCACTGTCTTCAGTGACATTACCTGCTTGGCTCAGTAAGCTCTTTCTATAGAACCATAGGATTTTACAGAAGGGACCCCAGGGGTGAAGAACCTTACATTTGTCCCCATTGAAATTCACCCTGTTAGTTTGGGCCCAGTTCTCCAATCTGTTAAGGGCAACCGGAATCCTGATTCTGTCTCACGTGGCCTTGGCTGCCTCTCCCAACTTGGTGCCATCTGCAAATTATGATGAGCATCCCCTCAGTACCTTCATCCGAGTTGTTTATAAAGGCATTGAGCAACCATGGGCCCAGGACAGAACTCTGCAGCACCCCTACATTTCTCCAGGATGATGAGAAACCGTTAGTGAGCACTCTTTAGGCTTCGTTAGTCAAACAGCTACAAATCCACCTAACAGTTACCTTGGGGCCATGGAAGCTCCAGCCCCTGCAATAAAATATTTGAGGGGGCCATGTCCTCGCAAAGTTGACAGGCATTGCCATTCAAATGGTTTGCGTGCACTGTGTCGTGTGTTTGATTTATAGGGGCAGGGATTACCTGGGCCCCCACCATATTTCATACAAGTTGGCACCCGTGGTTTGCCTATTGGAGTAAAGGAAGGATTGAACTCTGATTAATAAGAATACACACAGAGACTTGAACCAGCAAGACTCTGGGAGGGGTGCGTATAATTGTGTCTCTCTGTGCTTGTCCGAATGTGACTGGCCCAGGCCGTTTTTATTCATAAAATAGCTTTTTACAGAGTGTTCGAAAGAACCAATCAGATTTCTTCTGAGCATTTCCACAAACCCAGGTGGGGAGAAAGTTAAACCACTAAAACTAATTAAGCACAAATATTTCTGGGGTAAATAAGTTGAGAACTACAAAGAAGAGTATATGGAAACCACGGAGGTAATAAACAAGCAATACACATATGATAAGGAGGATGGCCAGGAGGTCAGTGACCATTATCCCCTTAATGTGAGATCTGTTTCCTGGCCCTAAGATTAAGATCCTACATCAAATAAACTTGCCCACTGTCTTTGATGACCCAGGAGCCTGCCTGGCAACAACTGGGCTGTGTAAGTGACTTCAGGCAAGAGAGATGGGCAGCAGGGGCAAAAGGGCATGGAAAGGGCATGAATGTAGAATCTTATGGGATTTAATCAGAAATTATCGTCAATATATCAAACCCAGTCAACACAATGTCTTCATCGTGGACACGATGGCTTGATGTATATTTTATAATTCCTCATGGTAATCCCATCTGACCCCTACAGGTAACCCTACCCTGGCTCCACCCATGTGTTTGTACTGTACCAACTTCCCTGCCATCTTGTTCCTCCCCTTCCTGGTGGCACTGTGGTCTAAACCACAGAGCCTAGGGCTTGCCGATCAGGGGTCAGTGCTTCGAATCCCGCGATGGGGTGAGCTCTCATTGTTTGGTCCCAACTCATGCCCACCTAGCAGTTCAAAAGCACATCAAAGTGCAAGTATATAAATAGGTACCGCTCCGGCAGGAAGGTAAACGGCATTTCCATGTGCTGCTCTGGTTTTGCCAGAAGCGGCTTAGTCATGGTGGCCACATGACCCAGAAGCTGTCTGCAGTCAAAAGCCGGCTCCCTCAGCTGATAGAGCGAGATGAGCACGCAACCCCAGAGTCGTCTGTGACTGGACTTAATGGTCAGGAGTACCTTTACCTTTACCACCTGCTGAGGGGCTAGCACTCCATCTTCAACTCATCTCACCAACCACTTCTAAAGGTGCCTTCTTGATTCCATGCCTCTTCAGTATACCTGAAGGAGCATCTCCACCCCCATAATTCAGCCCGGACACTGAGGTCCAGCTCCGAGAGCCTTCTGGTGCTTCCCTCACTGAAAGAAGTGAGGTTACAGCAAACCAAGCAGAGGGCCTTTTCAGTAGTGGCACCCGCACTGTGGAATGCCCTCCCTTCAGATGTCAAGGAAATAAACAACAATCTGACTTTTAGAAGACATCTGAAGGCAGCCCTGTTTAGGAAAGTTTTTAATGTTTCATGTTTTATCATGTTTTTAATATTCTGTTGGGAGCCACCCAGAGTGGCTGGGGAAACCCAGCCAGATGGGTGGAGCATAAATAATAAATTAGTATTATAAATTATTATTATTATTCTGTATCCCACTGATATGTTTGCTGGTGGACTGCTTGTTTCCACTCCACTCTTCCCCTTCCCCAGCTGGAACATCAGAATGCCCTGGCCTGCCCCTTATATCCAGTGGCAATGGTCCAACTTTTTATAATGCCAGAACTCCCCTCTCCCTTTTACTGGTCCCTGCTCCAGTGGCTTCAGACAAAGACATTAGCAGATAATGCCTACTTGATTTTGGCTGTGCATCAAGCTGGCATTATGTGATGGCCTGGGAATCTGATTCAGAGGATGAACTGGAGGAATCCCAGCCTGCACAGGAGTCCCCGCCTCCAGGGCCGGCTGAACTGGGGCAGGGCCTTGATTCTGAGGCGCCTGCACCTGTGCCGGATCCTCAGGAGCAGGCACCAGGTGAACCCATTCTGGCTCCAGAGGTAGTTGAGGACTCAGTGCCTACAGGTGAGCCTCCCCCTGGGCCCAGTAACCCTTCAGCCTCTCCTGAACTGCAGAGGCTCAGGGCAGAGAGGCGAAGGGAACTGGTTTCTCCCAGGAGGAGTGCTCGCCTTAAGGCCAGGAGAGGCGGGTCTCCTGGGGGCCGGGACCGCCCCTGGCCTCAGAGAAGATAAAGGCCAGTCAGCCTGGTCCCAGGTTGCGGGAGCAACGTCGTCACTGAAGAGCTGTTTCGGCCAGCACCCAGTCCTGTTCCTACAGTGTTCCTGTCCTTGCCCGGCTCCTCGCTGTGGACCCCGCTTCGCCCGTGGAGGACTGTCTGCCGACCCTCGACTCAGGTCCTGGACCTCGCCCCACGGTAACCTCCCCCTTGGGACCAGCACACATTAAAGGACAAGAGCAGGTGAAATAGGTTTTTCTAGTCGGTTGGCATCCCTACAACTCATTAACTAGGCTAAGTGTATGTTATTTCGACCAGGGATGACCAGGTGTGCTTCCTACACACATAACAGAAATCTGCTATGGAAATAATCAGGAGTAGTGGGATCAAGTTAAGCGAAACCAGCTTCCCATGATTCTCAGCTCATGCAGGTGCTCTGCACCTGTACAGCAGCTTCAAGACAAATGAAGCACTGTCTTTGATGTCCAAAGTATGGGGCGACATCACACACTTTGACCCTAGACCTTGTTGTTGTTTAGTCGTTTAGTCGTGTCCGACTCTTTGTGACCCCATGGACCAGAGCACGCCAGGCACTCCTGTCTTCCACTGCCTCCCACAATTTGGTCAAACTCATGTTCGTAACTTCGAGAACACTGTGCAACCATCTCATCCTCTGTCGTCCCCTTCTCCTTCTGCCCTCAATCTTTCCCAACATCAGGGTCTATTCCAGAGAGTCTTCTCTTCTCATGAGGTGGCCAAAGTATTGGAGCCTCAGCTTCAGGATCTGTCCTTCC